AAGCTCATAACCTCTACTCACCATCAGATGCCTATGTAACACAGCATAACAGTTTATGTTGTCTCATAAAAATAGTAGTTTCAATTCCCTCAAAATCCTCAATAACCATTGAATAATTGTAGGTCCACACCGTTGAACATCAATAAGTTACCTATCATAGTTTGAACAATCTAGCTCGACATAACCACATAGAATCTTCCACACATAGTTTCTTGTCACCCAACCAAAACTCAATCCTTAGAAAAGTCGATGATAACTTTCTAGTAAGTTTGTACCAAACTAGTTCACATCTCACAGTCATATCTAAACTCATAGGCAAAAATCAATAAATCCTTCAACTACAAACCAAGGGCTTACTTATCTTAAATTCTTCCCATGACACAAAATTCTAAATATCTTTAACCCTTCAATACACTAGACTCTTGTTCCTTGTGTTGACTTGCTCGCGCCAATCTTATCCTTTGACCAACAACCCATGATATTTTTACCTTATCCTCTAAATCAAAACATTATGTGAAACCCCCCTTAGGTATAACAATCAAAAGCAACCAAATTTACTATCCAAATATTTTTAAGTCCTTCTAAATGCTTCATACTCAATGTGATCGATCACTTCTTACCTTACAAATCCATTTCTTGACAAAACACACTACCACAAACCTAAATTCACAATGAAAAACTTGAATTTTGAATCCAACTATGTAACTCAATCCCTCTATCTATCAACATTAGTTCATACCTTGAATATTTTTATGAATTCACGTATCTTAGTTTATCATTGATCGCCTCTCCACTGACCTTATCATATCTTTTGCTAAAAATTCAACTGTACTCATTACCAAACTCAAAACCACACACACAAAAACCTATCATAACACTCGAGTTGAACTAAAATTTTATCCAATATTTTTTAACCAATACGATGAACCCGTGACAATGTTATCATAAGTAGAGAAAAATAGATGAAACCACATGTCTTAGAACCTAATTCTTCGCTCTCTCGAAAAATACATCTTTGTTCCTTGCAATCAGAGTAAATATCTTTATTCTTGCCTATTTCCAAAGGCTAAATTATATCCTACTAAATTTTTTATTTATTTATGACTCTAGCTCCTTTCAATTTTATTCAACCGGTGTCTCAACACCTCCTATAACTTTCCATGCAATCAAGCTACTCACCAATAGTAGCAAACCACAATCTTAGATACTCGTAAGACGTCATTACAATACAAAAATTTGTTAATCAATAATCCTTATTATATAGTTGCATCTCAATCAAAATCCATCACAAACTCTTATTACCATTATACTCGGTTAGCCCTTGCCATCACCACGAAGTCACCCTTGTCATTGACATGACATCTCAAACCTAGCTATGCCAGCCATCCAAGGAACTCACTCAATTTATACTCACTTTCTTACCCATAATTTTGTCATTCCGATATCAGTCTACTCATTTGGAGCTTAAGATAAAATTATCTGATCTCATTTAGAATTTTGGGATACACTTCACAACCTAAATGTATTAATATCATACCAAAGATCCACCACTAAAATTTCCCATATAAATAATGCTTAACTCATTTGTCTGTAGTAACAAGCTAGTTGATTTATCAAATGTTAATACAACATCGAATCTCATTATACGAGCATGTGATACAACTGATAACTCTTTAAGTAGTTAGTAATGGCACTTGACATTAACGTATCAATTTTCATATACCACTAGTACCACATTGTGAAGTCTATTAAATCCACCACTAGAACACATCATACTTATCGAGAAGAGTGTACCCAAATAGTCTACACATTCTTGCCCCATTAAGTAACTAACATACACTACCAAATTTGTTCGATCTCTCGTCCAAAGCGATATGCATCCCTTCGTAGATAATGTCAACAACAAGAGTAACACATTCTCTAACTCTAAACAAGTAAGAATCGGTACAATTATAGTAGTCGTATTATGACCCTTTTTTATATACACTCAATCTATGAAAGATTCCAACCTTGATTGACGCAACATCATTCGCTAAGCAACCCATATATGTTATGACAACTATACCAGTTGTATTTTCCAAGGTTACACTATTCATTATCTAACAATCCTTGTAATCATTCAACTTCCAATTGTCAAACCACTTCAAATATTGCCTATACCATATCAGTACAAATCCACTACTAGATGACTAGCAAAAAAAAAAGTATAAGATGCTCATGAAGTCCCTTAAACCATTATTAGCCTAATCGTTTATTTATCCTCAAAGTGAATCATCAAACCATAACATCACACAATTCGTTCGAATCATTGAACATTCTAAATCTGACCACACATCATCTCCACAAAGTATATCACTTCAACCTTTGTACCATATCTAACATCCAAGTCATACACGACACCAATTATTGACATGAGGAACTACGCACGAGCCATCACATAAGTGAGAGAGAATAGAAGGAAGTGATAAGAATCAGAAGGGATCAAGGATATACGATAGAGATTCAAGAAGTGAAGATTTTTCTTAAAAGTCACTATAGCCTCTCGAAGATAAGTATAGACGTCTCTGTACCGATACTTGAGACTCTACTTAGACTCGACTTGTATACACGTGAGACCAATGAACCTGGGTTCTGATACCATTTTGTCACGACCCAAAAATGGATGAGATGACACTCATCTTATCCCACCAAGACAAATCAGCCTAAAACTCAATACAATAAAATGCAGAAATTTCATAATCAACTCAAAAATACTCCCAAAATCTGGTTGTCAGGTGTACAAGCCTCTAAAGTATTACAATTGAATCAAAAGAAAATACAAGTCTCATATGACATTGTTTCTAGAGTAGAGCAAGATCATAAACAAGAGTAAAAAGGTCTGCTGAGTTGACAAATAGCTACCTCACAAATCTCCAAGAAGCCTCAGAAAAGAAGAGAACATATCACAAAGGTCCGAGCTAGTAACCTACAAAAAATATAGTAGCAAGGGGTGAGTACCAACCACACGGTACTCAACAAGTAAACTTTAAAACACAAGCTAAGGGGATATAATACGGGTACTCCTTACACACCAACCGAACCTCCACAACTACAACCTGCACAAAACCAACCCAACCTAACAGTTCACAGTTACATAGCACCCAACTCAACAACAATCACTTAAACAAATTGCATATCCTCAACAACAAACTCAATATTCATCAATAACAACTTCCTCAAAAAGGCACTCACAAATATCAGCAACGCACAAGATCAAGTTCATCAAATAGAGGTAATCAAATATCAAGTACTTTTCAACCACAAATTAAACACATAATCATCAAGAATGAATGATGTCATGGGATGCAATGCAATATGACACCATGAAATGATATGCCTCAAAATACCAAGTACACTCTCAACCGTATATACATGATACTCCTCATAAATACATCGAGAGTTCATGACCCATGGGGGACTCACGAGGTCCATATACCGACACAGACGATCTCCACGTGTCTGTACGGACGATCTCGATGCACTATCATAAATCAAAAAAATTCCGCACGGACGATTTCCACGTGCCCAAATTATAATCTTAACATCTCACCATCCCCAGCACGGACGATCTCCACGTGCCCAACTTATACTCAATCTCATGTCAATGCATGCGCACAATATAATTTCAAATAAAGAGGATGATGACCTCTATCTACCCCACCAATCACAATTATCCCACAATTAATCCTCCATTAGCCTTATTTTATTCAACCAAAACTTCAATCCGTAACATAGTCTATTTTTTTCCAAACCTCTACGTGATAACTAAATTTATTGGTGTTATTAGCTTCCTCCAATCATCCAATAATAACAATAATAATAATAAACAATCCACATACATAATATAAGATTAGGTAGAACAGATGGATTTTTACCTGAGTCGTAATTGTCTTTTTTCGGCGGTGGATTTTAGGCGCAATGGCTTGTGATACCATTAAAAATAAACATCTTCTTTAACTTATTCCAGGGTCAAGTGGTATAGGGTATTAAGTTATGGACTTGGCCCATTAACCACTTAATAATAAATAAATTACCCGTAAATTAATTTACTATTGTTAAATGACTATACAATATTATCAAAAATGAACTTTCGGATCCGGGTCATTACATTCGTCAAGCTTCAATTTCAAGTATCAAGCATAATACTCGTATATTAATTTGTAACCAACTTGACAAGATTCAACGATTAATAAATTAAACTTAGCATTTATGACGTGTTGTTAAATAGTGTATGAATTGACGCATTATCACTTACGTGTATTCCTTGAGAAATATTATTGAGTTCTTTGTACAATCCTTTTGAAATCCATATTTTCGTCAATCTTGTATGTGATCTCATAACAATGTGCATCTAGAAACTTCATCCTAAAATTATTTAAGCCTAATCACCCAAAATCAAGTTGAAGTATTTGTAGGTTTTTTACAAGAATTATTCTTAACCTAAAAGATATGATTTTTTAAAAAAATTTGGTATATACCAATTCATAAGTTCATAATTATATTTATACTATAAATGCCCAGTTATATGCGATCTCCAAATAATATACATTTGATAACTTTATCGTAAAATTATTTACTTGTCATTAATAAAATTCCAGTTGACATATCTATACATTTTTCAAAAGTCATTGATCTTATCCTAAAAGATATCAGTATTTCTGAATATGGTATGATAATTAATAAGTCCACAAATACATTTTACTATAAATGCTCAATGCAATCTCTTTCATAACCACCATCAAGAAAAATATATTATTTTGCATAGTTTATTACATCTCAAGCAAGGTTTCTACTTATTAACTTTATATTTATAATATTTTTTAATGTATGAGTGTATGCATGAGTGGTTTTCATGAGATTATTTACTATTTTAAACTAATTGTTATTATAATTTTATTTTATGTGTAGCTAAAATGAATACTTTCATCAACAACAACAAGAAGAAGAAAGTGGTGTTCATAATGGGAGCACCAGGCACGGGAAAATCTCGTCTCTCTGTTGACCTTGCCACCGATTTTCGAGGAGAAATAATCAACTCGGACAAAATGCAAGTATTTAAGGGACTTGAAATCGTGACCAACAAGATCACACACGGTGAGAAACAAGGTGTACGACACTATTTGCTAGGTAAACATATTTGAAAAAGACATTCTTTTGTGATTCCTTTATTTTAATGTGAATATTAATTGACAGTTATTTTGTTTCACAAATTTTTAGGTGAAATTGACCCATATTCCAACTTCACGGCCGAAGATTTATGTTTGAAGTTCATTGTATACATAGAAAAATTTTGAAGACTCAATGTGTTCGAATAATTGTTGGAGGGTCAAATTCGTTTATTGAAAAACTTGTGGAAGACCCTGTGTTCATGTTCAAATCTAAGTATGACAGTTGCTTTATTTGGATTGATGTATAGCATGGAGGAATAGTGTTTTGCAACCATGCATAGATATTGTTAAAAGATTTCTCAAAAATGATGATCACAATATTAGTATTGAGTGTACATAAACTATCATTATCTCTATCTTGTGTTATTTTGTCTCTTGGTCACTTTAATTTTTAACCTATTTTGTACAGTTTGTATCAAACAACATATATATACTATTCTTGTCTGTAAAAACTTTGTTATTTTTAGAGTAAATATTGAAGCTTTATAAAAATATTTATTTTAAGGTCCGATCAAAATCCAAGCGCCAAGTCCAAATCCAAGTTCAAGTCTTTGATATTTAATATATATTAATATAAATACGTACTTACACAATTACATGAGATCATTCTTACTGTCAAGGTAATAGAGTGAAAAAATAAATAACTATAAATTTTTGACAAGATTATAACCTTAAAGAATTTTAAAGAATAAAATTCTTAACTCCAAATTTAAAATTGTTACATAGACAAAGAAGAGAAAATAATAAATTTGCAATCTATCGGTAAGGATCATTTAAGGAAATATATTCTACCTAATTCAATCACGATGATGGAAGCTTAATTCAATAAAACATTTATCTATTATTACATGTTGCACAAGTAAATATAAATAATTCTAATTGAAATAGTTATCAATAATTGTTCCTTCCCTTCTAATTGAATTAGACTTAGCACTTATGACGTGTTGTTAAATAGTGTATCAATTGACGCATTATCACTTACGTGTATTCCTTGAGAAATATTATTGAGTTCTTTGTACAATCCTTTTGAAATCCATATTTTTGTCAATCTTGTATGTGATCTAATAACAATGTGCATCTAGAAACTTCATCCTAAAATTATTTAAGCCTAATCACCCAAATTCAAGCTGACGTATTTGTAGGTTTTTTACAAGATTTATTGTTCATGTAAAAGATATGATTTTTTTAAAAATAATTTGGTATATACCAATTCATAAGTTCATAATCACATTTCTACTATAAATGCCCAGTTATATGCGATCTCCAAATAATGTACATTTGATAACTTTATCCCAAAATTATTTGCTTGTCATTACTAAAATTCCAGTTGACATTTCTATACATTTTTCAAAAGTCATTGATCTTATCCTAAAAGATATCAGTATTTCTGAATATGGTATGATAATTAATAAGTCCACAAATACATTTTACTATAACTGCTCAATGCAGTCTCTTTCATAACCACCATCATGAAAAATATATTATTTTGCATAGTTTTTTACATCTCAAGCAAGGTTTCTACTTATTAACTTTATATTTATAAAATTTTTTAATGTATGAGTGTATGCATGAGTGGTTTTCATGAGATTATTTACTATTTTATACTAATTATTATTATAATTTTATTTTATGTGTAGCTAAAATGAATACTTTCATCAACAACAACAAGAAGAAGAAAGTGGTGTTCATAATGGGAGCAACAAGCACGGGAAAATCTCGTCTCTCTGTTGACCTTACCACCCATTTTTGAGGAGAAATAATCAACTCGGACAAAATGCAAGTATTTAAGGGACTTGAAATCGTGACCAACAAGATCACACATGCTGAGAAACAAGGGGTACGACATTATTTGCTAGGTAAACAAATTTGAAAGAGACATTCTTTTGTGATTCCTTTATTTTAATGTGAATATTAATTGACAGTTATTTTGTTTCACAAATTTTTAGGTGAAATTGAGCCAGATTCCAATTTCACGGCTGAAGATTTCTGTTTGAAGGCCATTGTCTACATAGAAATTTTTTTGAAGACTCAATGTGTTCGAAATATTGTTGGAGGGTCAAATTCTTATTTTGAAAAACTTTTGGAAGACCCTGTGTTCATGTTCAAATATAAGTGTGACAGTTGCTTTATTTGGATTGATGTAGAGCAATCAGTCTTGAACCGTAGAGTTGACACGAGGGTTGATGAAATGGTCAGTGCAGGTATTTTTTGTAGTTATTTTATATAAAAATCAAAATATAATAATGACTCTAACTAAAACTTTTCTTATATAGTTTTCTTAATAATACTTTTGGTTTTCAAATATATGTTCACCTAAATAAAACTATTCTTAAATTTATGTTGCATGCAGGGCTGGTGAATGAGGTGCGGCCAATTTTCATCCCAGAGGCACATTACACCAAAGAAATCTGACGGTCCATTGGTGTCCCTGAAATGGCCAAATATTTAAGGGAAAACAAAATATAGACGGAGATGATGAATCAAAGAAGATGATTCTTCAAGCTTCAATTTCAAGTATCAGGCACAATACTCGTAAATTAATTTGTAACGAACTTTAGAAGATTCAACGATTAATAAATGAGAAAATGTGGCCGGTGCATCATATTAATGCTACTGACGTTTTCGAAGAAGATGGAAAAGAAGCTGTAGACGAAGCATGAAGGAATACTGTTTTGCAACCATGCCTAGATATTGTTAAAAGATTTCTCAAAAATGATGATCACAATATTAGTATTGAGTGTACATAAACTATCATTATCTCTATCTTGTGTTATTTTGTCTCTTGGTTACTTTAACTTTTAACCTATTTTGTACAGTTTGTATCGAACAACATATATACACTATTCTTGTTTGTAAAAACTTTGTTATTTTTAGAGTAAATATTTAAGCTTTATAAAAATATTTATTTTAAGGTCTGATCCAAACCCAAGCGCCAAGTCCAAATCCAAGTTCAAGTCTTTGATATTTAATATATATTAATATAAATACGTACTTACACAATTACATGAGATCATTCTTACTGTCAAGGTAATAGAGTGAAAAAATAAATGACTATAAATGTTTGAGAAGATTATAACCTTAAAGAATTTTAAAGAATAAAATTCTTAACTCCAAATTTAAAATTGTTACATAGACAAAGAAGAGAAAATAATAAATTTGCAATCTATCGGTAAGGATCATTTAAGGAAATATATTCTACCTAATTCAATCACGATGATGGAAGATTAATTCAATAAAATATTTATCTATTATTACATGTTGCACAAGTAAATATAAATAATTCTAATTGAAATAGTTATCGATAATTGTTCCTTCCCTTCTAATTGAATTAGACTTAGCACTTATGACGTGTTGTTAAATAGTGTATCAATTGACGCATTATCACTTACGTGTATTCCTTGAGAAATATTATTGAGTTCTTTGTACAATCCTTTTGAAATCCATATTTTCGTCAATCTTGTATGTGATCTCATAACAATGTGCATCTAGAAACTTCATCCTAAAATTATTTAAGCCTAATCACCCAAATTCAAGCTGACGTATTTGTAGGTTTTTTACAAGAATTATTCTTAACCTAAAATATATGATTTTTTAAAATTTTTTTGGTATATTCCAATTCATAAGTTCATAATCACATTTATACTATAAATGCCCACTTATATGCGATCTCCAAATAATGTACATTTGATAACTTTATCCTAAAATTATTTGCTTGTCATTACTAAAATTCCAGTTGATATATCTATACATATTTCAAAAGGCATTGATCTTATCCTAAAAGATTTCAATATTTCTGAATATGGTATGATAATTAATAAGTCCACAAATACATTTTACTATAAATGCTCAATGCAATCTCTTTCATAACCACCATCAAGAAAAATATATTATTTTGCATAGTTTTTTACATCTCAAGCAAGGTTTCTACTTATTAACTTTATATTTATAAAATTTTTTAATGTATGAGTGTATGCATGAGTGGTTTTCATGAGATTATTTACTATTTTAAACTAATTATTATTATAATTTTATTTTATGTGTAGCTAAAATGAATACTTTCATCAACAACAACAACAAGAAGAAAGTGGTGTTCATAATGGGAGCAACAAGCACGGGAAAATCTCGTCTCTCTGTTGACCTTGCCACCCATTTTTGAGGAGAAATAATCAACTCGGACAAAATGCAAGTATTTAAGGGACTTGAAATCGTGACCAACAAGATCACACACGCTGAGAAACAAGGTGTACGACACTATTTGCTAGGTAAACATATTTGAAAGAGACATTCTTTTGTGATTCCTTTATTTTAATGTGAATATTAATTGATAGTTATTTTGTTTCACAAATTTTTAGGTCAAATTGAGCCATATTCCAACTTCACGGTCAAAGATTTCTGTGTGAAGTCCATTGTCTACATAGAAAATTTTTTGAAGACTCAATGTGTCCCAATTATTGTTGGAGGATCAAATTCGTATATTGAAAAACTTGTGGAAGACCCTGTGTTCATGTTCAAATATAAGTATGACAGTTTCTTTATTTGGATTGATGTAGAGCAATCAGTCTTGAACAGTAGAGTTGACACGAGGTTTGATGAAATGGTCAATGCAGGTATTTTTTGTAGTTATTTTATATAAAAATCAAAATATAATAATTACTCTAACTAAAACTTTTCTTATATAGTTTTCTTAATAATACTTTTGGTTTTCAAATATATGTTCACCTAAATAAAACTATTCTAAAATTTATGTTGCATGCAGGGCTGGTGGATGAGGTGCGGCCAATTTTCATCCGAGATGAACATTACACCAAAGAAATCCGACGGTCCATTGGTGTCCCTTAAATGGCCAAATATTTAAGGGAAAACAAAATATAGACGGAGATGATGAATCAAAGAAGATGATTCTTCAAGCTTCAATTTCTAGTATCAAGCACAATACTCGTAAATTAATTTGTAAACAACTTTAGGAGATTCAACGATTAATAAATGAGAAAATGTGGCCGGTGCATCATATTATTGTTACTGACGTTTTCGAAGAGGATGGAAAAAAAGCTGTTGACGAAGTATGGAGGAATAATGTTTTGCAACCATGCCTAGATATTGTTAAAAGATTTCTCAAAAATGATGATCACAATATTAGTATTGAGTGTACATAAACTATCATTATCTCTATCTTGTGTTATTTTGTCTCTTGGTCACTTTAATTTTTGACCTATTTTGTACAGTTTGTATCGAACAACATATATATACTATTCTTGTCTGTAAAAACTTAGTTATTTATAGAGTAAATATTTAAGCTTTATAAAATATTTATTTTAAGGTCCGATCCAAGCCCAAGCGCCAAGTCCAAATCCAAGTTCAAGTCTTTGATATTTAATATATATTAATATAAATACGTACTTACACAATTACATAAGATCATTCTTATTGTCAAGGTAATAGAGTGAAAAAATAAATGACTATAAATGTTTTAGAAGATTATTACCTTAAAGAATTTTAAAGAATAAAATTCTTAACTCCAAATTTAAAATTGTTACAGAGACAAAGAAGAGAAAATAATAAATTTGCAATCTATCGGTAAGGATCATTTAAGGAAATATATTCTACCTAATTCAATCACGATGATGGAAGCTTAATTCAATAAAACATTTATCTATTATTACATGTTGCACAAGTAAATATAAATATTTCTAATTGAAATAGTTATCAATAATTGTTCCTTCCCTTCTAATTGAATTAGACTTAGCACTTATGACGTGCTGTTAAATAGTGTATGAATTGACGCATTATCACTTACGTGTATTCCTTGAGAAATATTATTGAGTTCTTTGTACAATCCTGTTGAAATCTATATTTTCGTCAATCTTGTATGTGATCTCATAACAATGTGCATCTAGAAACTTCATCCTAAAATTATTTAAGCTTAATCACCCAAATTCAAGCTGACGTATTTGTTGGTTTTTTACAAGAATTATTCTTAACCTAAAAGATATGATTTTTTTTTTAAATTTGTATATACCAATTCATAAGTTCATAATCAAATTTATACTATAAATGCCCAGTTATATGCGATCTCCAAATAATGTACATTTGATAACTTTATCCTACAATTATTTGCTTGTCATTACTAAAATTCTAGTTCACATATCTATACATTTTTCTGAAGTCATTGATCTTATTCTAAAAGATATCAATATTTCTGAATATGGTATGATAATTAATTAGTCCACAAATACATTTTACTATAAATGCTCAATGCAATCTCTTTCATAAACACCATCAAGAAAAATATATTATTTTGCATAGTTTTTTACATCTCAAGCAAGGTTTCTACTTATTAACTTTATATTTATAAGATTTTTTAATGTATGAGTGTATGCATGAGTGGTTTTTATGAGATTATTTACTATTTTAAACTAATTATTATTACAATTTTATTTTATGTGTAGCTAAAATGAATACTTTCATCAACAACAATAACAACAAGAAAGTGGTGTTCATAATGGGAGCAACAGGCACGGGAAAATCTCGTCTCTCTGTTGACCTTGCCAACCATTTTCGAGGAGTAATAATCAACTCGGACAAAATTTAAGTATTTAAGGGACTTGAAATCGTGACCAACAAGATCACACACGGTGAGAAACAATGTGTACGACACTATTTGCTAGGTTAACATATTTGAAAAAGACATTCTTTTGTGATTCCTTTATTTTTATGTGAATATTAATTGACAATTATTTTGTTTCACAAATTTTTTGTGACACCCCAAATCCAAATGTGATGGCACGTGTCCATTTCCCACCGGACATGTCAGCCTAACCCAACCACAACGATAGAGAAGTAGAAATACGAGAATAAAATATAATAAATAAGCGGAAGACTTTAATTAAGACTCAACACTACCCAGAATTTGGTTGTCACATGTATAAACCTCTAAATACAGAATTCGAATAAAAATATACAAGTCTCAGAGTATAGTTCTCGAATAGAACAAAACTGAAAGTAAAGATAACTCAAGGGTACGTCTGGAATGAACCGCTACCTCTCGAGTATGTCCCGAAGCTAAATCTGCTAAAGAAACTACTAAGTCGAATCTGAGAGAGCTGTCAACCTACACAATTGTGTAGAAGCAAGGGTGAGTACCGAAAACCACAGGTACTCGCAAGTAACTCTAAACTAAGCAAAACTAGCAGCTACAAACAACTCCTTTCAATCCCAGCCGAACCACCGAAACTTCAATCTAGTAGCAAACCAACCAACCTATACTAAACAGATCATATTCAACAACCAGAACCAACAGTATATCCTCATCAACCTCAGATCAACAAATAAGAGCAAATAGATCAAATTCCACATAAGAAGGGTAAACCGATACAATCCACACATCACAGACAAAGATAAGGCAAATGCGATGCAAAATGCAATAATGATGTCATGTAGTCGTGATGCATGTCTGTCCTACGATACACATCTGTTGACGTAATCAGTCCGCGCTGAATACTCAAATCAGAACCCATGGGGGCCACACATGGACCATGTATCACCGCCGGAACCAGATCCCATCGGCATCCAAATCGCTAGCCGGAGCTAGTCCATCTCATATATCTCTAGCCGAAGCTAGTCTCAACTGTGTCTCATATCCATCCATCCTCATATCAGTGTCTTAGAATTCATGCAACAGATAGTTCACACATGGGATGAATAATGAATATGCACATGTCATCAATCACAATCATATCACGATCACATCATAGTATTACACATCATCTGTCTCAATCACAACCATATCACGACCACATCATAGTATTACACATCACCTGTCTCAATCACAACCATATTACGACCACATCATAGAATTACACATCACCTGTCTCAATCACAACCACATCATAGTATTACACATCATTTGTCTCAACATCATTGTCTGTATCAATCATAGCCTACCCATGCTCTTCTATCCCCTCAATATCGGTTATCACATGACTTATTCAACAAATTCAAGTCACATATAACACATTTAGCTCGTTTTATTCCCCATCTTTCATTTACAACAATTTCAATCAACAAATAAAATCCATCCTCAATCCCCATTACTCCCCAACGCAATTAGGAAAGTAGTCATGCGTAGTCTAAGAGTTTTACAAAGTTTGGAAGCCACTTGCCTTAAAACGAACTCCAAAAGTTACTTGACTTGAGCCTTTTCTTTCCGAGTAGAATCCGGATCACGATAATCTATTCAAACAATTATTCACAATCACAATTCGAGTCCAATGACACCAAAATCAAGAAATTTAGGGAAAAAGGGCAAAACGGTCCAAAAGTCTCATACCGGAAAACGATACCCAAATCTGAAATTTTTTGATGTAAAATGATCCTTAAAGTATTTGGAAGCTAATGGTGAAAACCAATTTGAAAACGGAGTTGAAATCAATTCACAAACTCAATTTGAAGGAAAATTCACGTTCTTTAAGAAGCCTAAAATATTCGGATCCGAAACCCCGACTCGAAAATGAAATATCTCTTGAAAAACATCTTACCCATGCTTAGATAAGTTCAAATATGAAATTTCATCAAAAACGGAGTTAAGATCGACCTTGAAATTCTCAATTTATCAAACTTTAACTTTACCGGGAAAGTCCAAATTGTACGTGGTTAATATGATGAAAATAATCGATGAATCAATAATTTTATGTTAAAATCAGTTTACCCATAACATAAGGATCGTAAATATACCTTTTTCATCAAAAAGGGAGTCCAAATCGATAAAACCCCAATTTTTCCCAAGAGGTATACGGATAGGAAAAAAAAACCAGATAAAGAAATTATGAGAAAATGTCGAATTGAAGATTGAATACTAACCCTCATATTAATTCAAGAAGAAACCCGTAAGAATCACTCCATTCCGATCTCTAGAACTCCCGATATGCTCAAAATACCAAATGAACATAGTCTGAGATTTTTATAACAGTATATGACTGTTATGCACCAGAAAAACAGCAGTTAATCTTTCACTAAAAAGACCGTAATTTCCTCATACGATAGTGAAATGACCCGATTATTTTTTGTAAAGGTCTTAAATAATGATACGGACTTGCTCGTTCAATCGGAGCTCAATTTCATGCTCGTTTGCCCAGTCAAATATCATTTCTACTCGGTAAACAATTATTTCTTATTTGCGATAAAAGTATAATCTCGGGTTAGCGAAAATGCACCAAAATTTGCAGATAAGTCCTATAATTCATGCTCAAAATTTCAGAACCTTCGAAATAACTTTTTGACCTTTAAAACTAATAATGAACCCTTTAGTTGTCACAATTTGCTGAAATAGTGTCAAAGCATCCAAGAAGCTTAAAAGCTCACCCAAAACTCATTTGGCACTTCCCGAACACAAACCAAATATGTTACTAGCTTGAAAATGACATTATGGACTCAATGAAATCGTCGGAATTTGAATTCGAGGTCTCCTTGACCCGGTATCCGATAAGGCGTCAAGAAACTAACTTTAGGCTCAAAAACTCGAAACGCACTCGGGGACTCTAAAAATTCAACCAAGACTCATTCTAGACTTAGAATCACCCCCTGAATCCAACGGTGCCCACGGAATTCCATTTCGAGCACCGGAACCTCGTTTCTTGACCAAAGTCAACTATTGATCAAAATTTCACAATTTTAGCAACTTAGGACCTCAAATCTTCGTTTTAACTCCAAATTCGACTCCGTAAGTTCTTATAGACCCGTTTCGACATTCTACAACTGCTGGAATCGACGGAAATCCGATTCGAGTCTCGAAACTCCAAATGACACGAAATAACACTTTTAACCAAACTTTAACTCTTAAAAACTCAACTTTCCAAACACTCAATTTTTCATCAATTTTCCTTCAGCCCAACTTCGAAAATACAACAATTAGGACTCGGGGCAACTATCGGGAGGGGTAAAACGATCATTTTCTGAAAATTTCCAAAAATGACCTTTAGGGTCATTACATTTTTTGGTGAAATTGAGCCAGAATCCAACTTCACAGCCGAAGATTTCTGTGTGAAGTCCATTGTCTACATAGAAAATTTTTTGAAGACTCAATGTGTTCCAATTATTGTTGGAGGGTCAAATTTGTATATTGAAAAACTTGTGGAAGACCCTGTGTTCATGTTCAAATATAAGTATGACAGTTGCTTTATTTGGATTGATGTAGAGCAATCAGTCTTGAACCGTAGAGTTGACACGAGGGTTGATGAAATGGTCAATGCAGGTATTTTTTGTAGTTATTTTATATAAAAATCAAAATATAATAATGACTCTAACTAAAACTTTTCTTATATAGTTTTCTTAATAATACTTTTGGTTTTCAAATATATGTTAACCTAAATAAAACTATTCTTAAATTTATGTTGCATACAAGGCTAGTGGATGAGGTGCGGCAAATTTTCATCCCAGATGCAGATTACACCAAAGGAATCCGACGGTCCATTGGTGTCCCTGAAATGGCCAAATATTTAAGGGAAGAAAAAAATATGGACGAAGATGATGAATCGAAGAAGATGATTCTTCAAGCTTCAATTTCAAGTATCAAGCACAATACTCGTAAATTAATTTGTAACCAACTTGAGAAGATTCAACGATTAATAAATGAGAAAATGTGGCCAGTGCATCATATTATTGCTACTGACGTTTTCGAAGAAGATGGAAAAGAAGCTGTTGACGAAGAATGGAGGAATACTGTTTTGCAACCATGCCTAGATATTGTTAAAAGATTTCTCAAAAATGATGATCACAATATTAGTATTGAGTGTACATAAACTATCATTATCCATATCTTGTGTTATTTTGTCTCTTGGTCACTTTAATCTTTGACCTATTTTGTATAGTTTGTATCAAACAACATATATATACTATTCTTGTCTGTAAAAACATTCTTATTCATAGAGTAAATATTTAAGCTTTATAAAAATATTTATTTTAAGTTCCGATCCAAGCCCAAGCGCCAAGTCCAAATCCAAGTTCAAGTCTTTGATATTTAATATATATTAATATAAATACGTACTTACACAATTACATGAGATCATTCTTACTGTCAAGGTAATAGAATGAAAAAATAAATGACTATAAATGTTTGAGAAGATTATAACCTTAAAGAATTTGAAAGAATAAAATTCTTAACTCCAAATTTAAAATTGTTACATAGACAAAGAAGAGAAAATAATAAATTTGCAATCTATCGGTAAGGATCATTTAAGGAAATATATTCTACCTAATTCAATCACGATGATGGAAGCTTAATTCAATAAAACATTTATCTATTATTACATGCTGCACAAGTAAATATCAATAATTCTAATTGAAATAGTTATCGATAATTGTTCCTTCCCTTCTAATTGAATTAGACTTAGCACTCATGACATGTTGTTAAATAGTGTATGAATTGACGCATTATCACTTACGTGTATTACTTGAGAAATATTATTGAGTTCTTTGTACAATCCTTTTGAAATCCATGTTTTCGTCAATCTTGTATGTGATCTCATAACAATGTGCATCTAGAAACTTCATCCTAAAATTATATAAGCCTAATCACCCAAATTCAAGCTGACGTATTTGTAGGTTTTTTACAAGATTTATTGTTCATGTAAATAATATGATTTTTTTAAAAATAATTTGGTATATACCAATTCACAAGTTCAAAATCACATTTGTACTATAAATGCCCAGTTATATGTGATCTCCAAATAATGTACATTTGATAACTTTATCCTAAAATTATTTGCTTGTCATTACTAAAATTCCAATTGACATATCTATACATTTTTCAAAAGTCATTGATCTTATCCTAAAAGGTATCAATATTTCTGAATATGGTATGATAATTGAAAAGTCCACAAATACATTTTACTATAAATGCTCAATGCAATCTCTTTCATAACCACCATCAAGAAAAATATATTATTTTGCATAGTTTTTTACATCTCAAGAAAGGTTTCTACTTATTAACTTTATATTTATAAGATTTTTTGATGTATGAGAGTATGCATGAGTGGTTATCATGAGATTATTTACTATTTTAAACTAATTATTATTATAATTTTATTTTATGTGTAGCTAAAATGAATACTTTCATCAACAACAACAAGAAGTAGAAAGTGGTGTTCATAATGGGAGTAACAGGCACGGGAAAATCTCGTCTCTCTGATGACCTTGCCACCCATTTTCGAGGAGAAATAATCAACTCGGACAAAATGCAAGTATTTAAGGGACTTGAAATCGTGACCAACAAGATCACACACGGTGAGAAACAAGGTGTACGACACTATTTGCTAGGTAAACATATTTGAAAAAGGCATTCTTTTGTGATTCCTTTATTTTAATGTGAATATTAATTGACAGTTATTTTGTTTCACAAATTTTTAGGTGAAATTGAGCCAGATTCCAACTTCACGGGCGAAGATTTCTGTGTGAAGTACATTGTCTACATAGAAAATTGTTTGAAGACTCAATGTGTTCCAATTATTGTTGGAGGGTCAAATTCGTATATTGAAAAATTTATGGATGACCCTGTGTTCATGTTCAAATACAAGTATAACAGTTGCTTTATTTGGATTGATGTAGAGCAATCAGTCTTGAACCGTGAGTTGACACGAGGGTTGATGAAATGGTCAATGCAGGTATTTTTTGTAGTTATTTTATATAGAAATCAAAATCTAATAATGTCTCTAACTAAAACTTTTCTTCTATAGTTTTCTTAATAATACTTTTGGTTTTCAAATATATGTTCACCTAAATAAAACTATTCTTAAATTTATATTGCATACAGGGCTAGTGGATGAGGTGCAGCAAATTTTCATCCCAGATGCAGATTACCCTAAAGGAATCCGACGGTCCATTGGTGTCCCTGAATTGCCCAAATATTCAAGGGAAAAAAAAATATAGACGGAGATGATGAATCAAAGAAAATGATTCTTCAAGCTTCAATTTCAAGTATCAAGCACAATACTCGTAAATTAATTTGTAACCAACTTGAGAAGATTCAACGATTAATAAATGAGAAAATGTGGCCGGTGCATCATATTATTGCTAATGACGTTTTCGAAGAAGATGGAAAAGAAGCTGTTGACGAAGCATGGAGGAATACTGTTTTGCAACCATGCCTAGATATTGTTAAAAGATTTCTCAAAAATGATGATCACAATATTAGTATTGAGTGTACATAAACTATCATTATCTCTATCTTGTGTTATTTTGTCTCTTGGTCACTTTAATTTTTGACCTATTTTGTACAGTTTGTATCGAACAACATATATATACTATTCTTGTCTGTAAAAACTTTGTTATTCATAGAGTAAATATTTAAGCTTTATAAAAATATTTATTTTAAGGTGCGATCCAAGCCCAAGCGCCAAGTCCAAATCCCAGTTCAAGTCTTTGATATTTAATATATATTAATAGAAATACGTATTTACACAATTACATGAGATCATTCTTACTGTCAAGGTAATAGAATGAAAAAATAAATGACTATAAATGTTTGAGAAGATTATAACCTTAAGGAATTTTAAAGAATAAAATTCTTAACTCCAAATTTAAAATTGTTACATAGACAAAGAGGAGAAAAAAATAAATTTGCAATCTATCGGTAAGGATCATTTAAGGAAATATATTCTACCTAATTCAATCACGATGATGGAAGCTTAATTCAATAAAACATTTATCTATTATTACATGTTGCACAAGTAAGTATAAATAATTCTAATTGAAATAGTTATCGATAATTGTTCCTTCCCTTCTAATTGAATTAGACTTAGCACTTATGACGTGTTGTTAAATAGTGTATGAATTGACGCATTATCACTTACGTGTATTCCTTGAGAAATATTATTGAGTTCTTTGTACAATCCTTTTGAAATCCATATTTTCGTCAATCTTGTATGTGATCTCATAACAATGTGCATCTAGAAACTTCATCCTAAAATTATTTAAGCCTAATCACCCAAATTCAAGTTGACGTATTTGTAGGTATTTTACAAGAATTATTCTTATCCTAAAATATATGATTTTTTTAAATTTTTTTGGTATATTCCAATTCATAAGTTCATAATCACATTTATACTATAAATGCCCAGTTATATGCGATATCCAAATAATGTACATTTGATAACTTTATCCTAAAATTATTTGCTTGTCATTACTAAAATTCCAGTTGACATATCTATACATTTTTCAAAAGTCATTGATCTTATCCTAAAAGATATCAATATTTCTGAATATGGTATGTTAATTAATAAGTCCACAAATACATTTTACTATAAATGCTCAATGCAATCTCTTTCATAACCACCATCAAGAAAAATATATTATTTTGCATAGTTTTTTACATCTCAAGCAAGGTTTCTACTTATTAACTTTATATTTATAAGATTTTTTAATATATGAGTGTATGCATGAGTGGTTTTCATGAGATTATTTACTATTTCAAACTAATTATTATTATAATTTTATTTTATGTGTAGCTAAAATGAATACTTTCATCAACAACAAGAAGAAGAAGAAAGTGGTGTTCATAATGGGAGCAACATGCACGGGAAAATCTCGTCTCTCTGTTGACCTTGCCACCCATTTTCGAGGAGAAATAATCAACTCGGAGAAAATGCAAATATTTAAGGGACTTGAAATCGTGACCAACAAGATCACACACGCTGAGAAACAAGGTGTACGACACTGTTTGCTAGGTAAACATATTTGAAAAAGACATTCTTTTGTGATTCCTTTATTTTAATGTGAATATTAATTGACAGTTATTTTGTTTCACAATTTTTTAGGTGAAATTGAGCCAGATTCCAACTTCACGGCCGAAGATTTCTGTGTGAAGTCCATTGTCTACATAGAAAATTTTTTGAAGACTCAATGTGTTCCAATTATTGTTGGAGGGTCAAATTCGTATATTGAAAAACTTGTGGAAGACCCTGTGTTCATGTTCAAATATAAGTATGACAGTTGCTTTATTTGGATTGATGTAGAGCAATGAGTCTTGAACCGTAGAGTTGACACGAGGGTTGATGAAATGGTCAATGCAGGTATTTTTTGTAGTTATTTTATATAAAATCAAAATATAATAATGACTCTAACTAAAACTTTTCTTATATAGTTTTCTTAATAATACTTTTGGTTTCAAATATATGTTCACCTAAATAAAACTATTCTTAAATTTATGTTGCATGCAGGGCTGGTGGATGAGGTGCGGCAAATTTTCATCCCAGATGCAGATTACACCAAAGGAATCCGACGGTCCATTGGTGTCCCTGAAATGGCCAAATATTTAAGGGAAGAAAAAAATATAGACGGAGATAATGAATCAAAGAAGATGATTCTTCAAGCTTCAATTTCAAGTATCAAGCACAATACTCGTAAATTAATTTGTAACCAACTTGAGAAGATTCAACGATTAATAAATGAGAAAATGTGGCCGGTGCATCATATTATTGCTACTGACGTTTTCGAAGAAGATGGAAAAGAAGCTGTTGACGAAGCATGGAGGAATACTGTTTTGCAACCATGCCTAGATATTGTTAAAAGATTTCTCAAAAATGATGATCACAATATTAGTATTGAGTGTACATAAACTATCATTATCTCTATCTTGTGTTATTTTTCTCTTGGTCACTTTAATTTTTGACCTATTTTGTACAGTTTGTATCGAACAACATATATATACTATTCTTGTCTGTAAAATTTGTTATTCATAGAGTAAATATTTAAGCTTATAAAATTTTTATTTTAAGGTCCGATCCAAGCCAAGCGCCAAGTCCAATCCAGTTCAAGTCTTTGATATTTAATATATATTAATATAAATACGTACTTACACAATTACATGAGATCATTCTTACTGTCAAGGTAATAGAGTGAAAAAATAAATGACTATAAATGTTTGGGAAGATTATAACCTTAAGAATATTAAAGAATAACATTCTTAACTCCAAATTTAAAATTGTTACATAGACAAAGAAGAGAAAATAATAAATTTGCAATCTATCGGAAGGATCATTTAAGGAAATATATTTACCTATTCAATCACGATGATGGAAGCTTAATTCAATAAAACATTTATCTATTATTACATGCTGCACAAGTAAATATAAATAATTGTAATTGAAATAGTTATCGATAATTGTTCCTTCCCTTCTAATTGAATTAGACTTAGCACTTATGACGTGTTGTTAAATAGTGTATGAATTGACGCATTATCACTTAGTGTATTCCTTCAGAAATATTATTGAGTTCTTTTACAATCCTTTTGAAATCCATATTTTCGTCAATCTTGTATGTGATCTCATAACAATGTGCATCTAGAAACTTCATCCTAAAATTATTTAAGCCTAATCACCCAAATTCAAGTGACGTATTTGTAGGTTTTTTCAAGAATTATTCTTATCCTAAAATATATGATTTTTTAAAATTTGGTATATACCAATTCATAAGTTCATAATCACATTTTACTATAAATGCCCAGTTATATGCGATCTCCAAACAATGTACATTTGATAACTTTATCCTAAAATTATTTACTTGTCATTACAAAATTCCAGTTGACATATCTATACATTTTTCAAAAGTCATTGATCTTATCCTAAAAGATATCATATTTCTGAATATGGTATGATAATTAATAAGTCCACAAATACATTTTACTATAAATGCTCAATGCAATCTCTTTCATAACCACCATCAAGAAAAATATATTATTTTGCATAGTTTTTACATCTCAAGCAAGGTTTCTACTTATTAACTTTATATTTATAAGATTTTTTAATGTATGAGTGTATGCATGAGTGGTTTTCATGAGATTATTTACTATTTAAACTAATTATTATTATAATTTTATTTTATGTGTAGCTAAAATGAATACTTTCATCAACAACAACAAGTTCAACAAGAAGAAAGTGGTGTTCATAATGGGAGCAACAGAACGGGAAAATCTCGTCTCTCTGTTGACCTTGCCACCCATTTTCGAGGAGAAATAATCAACTCGGACAAAATGCAAGTTATAAGGGACTTGAAATCGTGACCAACAAGATCACACACGCTGAGAAACAAGGTGTACGACACTATTTGCTAGGTATACATATTTGAAAAAGACATTTTTTTGTGATTCCTTTATTTTAATGTGAATATTAATTGACAATTATTTTGTTTCACAATTTTTTAGGTGAAATTGAGCCAGATTCCAACTTCACGGCCGAAGATTTCTGTCTGAAGTCCATTGTCTACATAGAAAATTTTTTGAAGACTCAATGTGTTCCAATTATTGTTGGAGGGTCAAATTCGTATATTGAAAAACTTGTGGAAGACCCTGTATTCATGTTCAAACATAAGTATGACAGTTGCTTTATTTGGATTGATGTAGAGCAATGAGTCTTGAACCGTAGAGTTGACACGAGGGTTGATGAAATGGTCAATGCAGGTATTTTTTGTAGTTATTTTATATATGAATCAAAATATAATAATGACTCTAACTAAAACTTTTCTTATATAGTTTTCTTAATAATACTTTTGGTTTTCAAATATATGTTCACCTAAATAAAACTATTCTTAAATTTATGTTGCATGCAGGGCTGGTGGATGAGGTGCGGCAAATTTTCATTCCAGATGCAGATTACACCAAAGGAATCCGACGGTCCATTGGTGTCCCTGAAATGGCCAAATATTTAAGGGAAGAAAAAAATATAGACGGAGATGATGAATCAAAGAAGATGATTCTTCAAGCTTCAATTTCAAGTATCAAGCTAATACTCGTATATTAATTTGTAACCAACTTGACAAGATTCAACGATTAATAAATGAGAAAATGTGGTCGGTGCATCATATTATTGCTACTGACGTTTTCAAAGAAGATGAAAAGAAGCTGTTGACGAAGCATGGAGGAATACTGTTTTGCAACCATGCCTAGATATTGTGAAAGATTTCTCAAAAATGATGATCACAATATTAGTATTGAGTGTACATAAACTATCATTATCTCTATCTTGTGTTATTTTTCTCTTGGTCACTTTAATTTTTGACCTATTTTGTACAGTTTGTATCGAACTACAATATATATACTATTCTTGTCTGTAAAATCTTGTTATTATAGAGTAAATATTTAAGCTTTATAAAAATATTTATTTTAAGGTCCGATCCAAGCCAAGCGCCAAGTCCAATCCAAGTCTTTGATATTTAA